AACCCAAACAGCTCCCGAAACCATTACGCTGAAACCACCATGCTTCACAGTTGGTTCCAATCTGTTGAGCCACAACTCTTGGGGAGGAATTCTCCGGACCAATATCCTTCCACTGTCCGAAAATTGAGTGAATCTTGATTTGTCTGAGAACAGTACGGTCTTCCAAAAGTCTGGAGGCTTGGTCATCATATCACTTGCCCACTTCTTTCGTCTGACTATGTTGGCAGGTCTTAATAAGGGCTTCCGTCTAGCTGCTCTGCAACGATAACCCAATCTGTGGAGAATCTGGTGAACAGATTTCGGGCTCATCTCACCAACTTTGGCCACTTCTGCAGTCGTTAATCTGGGATCCATTTCGATGCTCCTCTTGACAGCTCTTTTTGTCCTCTCCTATGGACCAGGACGACCCGGACGCTGCTCAGTTGTTTCCTGAACTGCACGATGATTCTGTTGACTGTCGAAAGTAGGATTCCCAAATTCTGCGAAATTTGCCGCTGACTTATTCCACCATCTGCTTGACCAACTATCCTTCCTCTAACAAAATCTGACAATTCGAGAAAACTTTGAGTTCTAGGCATGTTGTAGCACAATATAATTAGTGTGCGGACCATTTTCATTTATATAGTGTTCTGTGAACACAAATTAGTTGACATAAATCAGTTAAATGACGAAAAATTAAGTGTCTATTTACTTGTGACCACTCAGTGTAGTTCCCCACAATAGGTCTTTTCAAATTACACTTGAAACCAATGTTGTCTTGTGATTTATTTCTTCCATTACATGTAACTATCTATTTGACTAATCTTTTCAGTTATTCTGGACTATCAGCAAGGGAAGTTGATATTTCAATACTACTTGATCTGATGATTCCATAACTTTTAGATGGTGCCTTTAGTAGTTTATCTGCAACTTTAATGGATTCAAATTCTATTGCCAACTGGAGAGTTTCCTTTTATTCAGACTAATTCTCATAGCCTCGTCTGTTATGGCATCTAAAAATCGATCATGTGCCAACGAATTTATCATTTTATGTGGAGCAACTGGGAAAGCTAATTAAGCAAGTCTTTCCAAATCTTCCCTAAGCTCAACTAATATGTCTTCTTTCTTGTGTATTTCGTTCTAGAACTTGTCTCTCGATATTTAATTAATGTGTGTGTTACTCCAAACCTGTTTAATAAGGCAGCTACGAATGCTAACATTTGTAATGGTTCTCAGCTGGAAGGTTACTTAATGTCAGTAAAGCTAGTCCTTTTGAATGGGCAGTAATACAATTAACTGGTTGTTCACTACTCCACCTGTTCATTATGGAAATTAGCTCGAACTGAGCCTGATATGCCTCCCATGATACTTTTCCATCATAGTCCATTGGTTTCTCAGGCAGGTAATATTGTTGAACTGGCCAGTTACATTTTGGAACTATATTTCGTTGTGACATGGCTGGATTGGTCTAGGAAGGACCTGCAATAACAGATGGCACAGTAATTGTGGTAATAGAAGTAGATCAAATAGGATCTCCTACTCCATATTTTGTAGTAAGTGATGTTTTAGGTTGGACTTCTTAATCTTTGCATTTACCTATTTTTTTCCCAGTTTTTGCATTTACCAATTCTTTTCCCAATGCTTTATTCTGTCATTGATTTATATTTGTACTTCTTTGACTTTACCATTACAGCCTTTCTGTACTTCTTCAATCTTGCTGTTGTAATCCATCTGTACATCTCCACTAGCCTCATCGATCTTATGTTCAATCATATTTATTTTTGTAACTTCTTTTTTAAATATTATATTTCTTTCTTTTATCTCCCCTTCCTAAATTCACATCTCTCTTCTTCGTTTTCCTTTAGTTTTCGGCCTCTTTCTTCTTGTGCTTTGAACTATTTCATCAGTTCTAATAAATTTCTGTTTTGTTTCATGTTGTCATCTTGGATGTGGAAGTTCACTTAAAGCTATGTTTTATTTTCACCAAAACAATCTCACTTCTGACATCAGTTTTAACTATTCTATCATTGGGTGGGCTCACTTTTGATTATTTGGTAAAAATATTGTGAAATCTAATTCACTTAATGATATAAAATTATTTATTTAACGTTAGCTACAGTCACGCTCACCTAGAGAAAGGGGTGACATTTTCAAAATAAAAAAATATAGATACTCAGCTGGGTGAAGTGGACCTGCTCTTGAAAAAAATCTACATGTAAACGTAAAAAGACAACAACAAAACAGTTTAAATAATTCCCAGTACTGCCTTATAAAATAAGTTCCGTTACTAAGTACCGGT